ATATACATATTCCATATATGCACTTATTTCTAGTTTCTCATCTACCCAAATACATACTTGTAAATAGTATAAATAGTCTATCTACATCGAAATACAGTTTTTCCCTTTGGGGGAGTTTCACTATTCTCATATTTTTATTACGCTGCTCTACAATGTGGAATAGGTTTGAAGGGAAGGGAGGGCGATGGCATGGCCATGTATTATGATTATTATCCTTCTTCACCGGACGAATCGATGATCTCAGCAAACGTCGACCCGGCTGATCAGCTTTCTGCAAAAGCTCCGTCACGTTGATGATCATCGGCTTGGTGAGCTGACTTGATCATAAAATTCGGCCAAGCATCAAGTACTCCCTCCCGTATCCGTTGACTCTAGCCTCGACACGAAAAAAAAAGAAACCCTCTAAAGACGGCTATAACTTGTGAACGGTTTCGCCAGGAATGCTGATGCTAGAGAAGCCCGTCAAGGGGAAACCCCGCGACCCATACACAGATGAACTCTCGACGTGTCGCGAGGTGGATGCTCACTTGGCGCGTTTTCTGAGCATTCTTTCATCAACTTACACCATCCCATTTTTCCGGATTTGAGAAAAGATTCTGAGCAAATCCATTCATTGGTTTCCTAGCAGCAAAATATCTTGGAATGTCATTCATTTTCTTCATAAAAAAATGTTGAACAAATGTCATTGATTTTCTTCATAAAAAAATGTTAAACAAATTTAGTGTTTTTTTTTTTATTTCAAAGAGAAGATAAATTGAAAACACATACAAAAACACTATCTACCATGTACTTCAACGTTAAAAATGAAGATTCAAACAATTGCTTTTCCTTGATTGTTTGAGAAGCAGACTATCCAGAATTGTTTTAAATTTGAATTCAATCCATGCAAATAGCAGTCAAACTAAAATGCTTACATGTAGTTCCCGAATTGCACCGTGGAAGAAAATGCCTGAAAATATTAGGTTCAATGCCTGTCTCACAAAAGATGAAGCTATATCTTTGTTTGTTATCTTCACAGAACCAGACATGAATACTTTGTTCATTTTTATTCATCAGTCATTTATGCATGAGTTCCAAACTGCTTACATGTTTCTTTTCCACATCCTTGAACAATATATCAATAAATGACTTCAAAGTCTTCCCAATGTATGACAACCTTTTTTCCTTTTGAAATTTTGAGAGAAAAAAACATTAGATGCAATATTTTTGTATATCACAATGATTCATATCAAAAATGATTGAGATGCTTACATCTGCATCATAAACCAAAAAATCCAAACCTCTGCTTGATGCAATATGTAACTGATTTGTTACAAAATGCAGGTACTTTTTTGATGGGAAAGTTAAAAAAATTGTGTAGTATGAATATCACATGTGTAGATCTCATGAATTTCCCAGATTTCTTACAGATTCATGATGATCTTTTGGTACTTATAGTAGATAATCAAGAACTTGGTTCAACTCTGTTCCAAAGTATGACAAATCTTCTTCATTTAGAAGCTTATTTTGTTCAAGTAAGCCAACAAACATATTGTTCAGTGATATTTTGGGATCTGTAGAATCAGTAAATCTTAAAATACTGACATTTGAATCTTCACTTCCACTATCAACCAAAAGATCTTTCCCTAACTCACTGAGAATCTTCCCAAAATGTGATGAGGATTCCTTTGTTTTTTTGTTTAAAAATATAAAAAAAAATCAAGAACATTGTTAACCAGGTTTTAAAGTAAATGTTGAAGAAGATATTTTGAGCCTGCTCACTCCACCGCCTTTACCAGAATTTGATTCTTTGGCCAAAAGATCTCCAACAAATTGATCAATCTTTTGCATGTTTACCAATGACATAGGGGTTCCTCTTCTTGGCCCCATCTTAAAAATAATACAACAGGTATTTAAGTCTCTGGTGCTTTGTTTACCTGCTAAGGTGAAAAAATAATCCATGAAACTTCTTACACCACAATTCAGAAGAGCTTGGCTTCCAATTTGTGTTTGAGGGTGCGGCTGCACATTCTTACCAGGTTCGAAATCTAGCTCTTTTTGTGCCTTTTTGCAAAAAAAAAAAGAAAAAGATCCATCAGTTGGTTGAGATTTTGGCTCTGTGGATTGAGCTGATTTTGTTATCCTTACAGGAGTATGATCAACAAATGCAGGGGAACCATTGAGTACGGGATCAAGTATCTTCTTTTCATCAGTGTATTCCACGCTCCCAATTTGGACCAAGAACAATGAAATCAAAATGAACGAGGACAAGAGGTAAACCTGCATCTTGAGAAGATGCCCAAGGGTGCTTTGGCAGAACTGCTATATAGACGGGGTAGAAATCAGCTGCTCAGATCGCCATGCCAGCCTAGAAGTAGCTGTTTTATGCTCAGTCGGCAGTCATTTTTTTTTAACGTTGCGCTTCATCGAGGATACTTTTGCACTGTGTGTACGGGTCACTCAAGTCGGCGCGACTACGTCAAGGAATGATACCCAAAGCTATACTTTTCCTATTACGTGGGCAGAGCTCAATTAATGAGATTCACTTTGAGTAAAGCTGGTTGTCAGCGCTCCGATTGAAATCCGACACGCCATTTTGAACCTGCGCTGAATCATGTTCTATGCTTGTCCGCCACGGATACAGGAGGAACTTCCACTAGCTGATTGCGCAGAAAAGACTAGCTGAACCTCGGTCTTATACTGTGGAGAAAGTCGCACAGCCTTGAACTGGAGAGAAAACGGTGTCGGATGTAGCACTTTTATTTCCGACCGATTGTATGGGCATGCAGGGAAGCAAAATAGATAACCAACATAGAAGCAAAAACTGACGATTTTCTCTGGTGAGATTTCCTCTGCAAGAGTCAGAAACAGCGTTTTATGATCTTCTCTGCAAAAGGGATAACAAGGCGTTTGAGAACAAAAAGCAAGCTTGAATAGTCCCATGCACTAGCGCGTCTCATCAGACGGGACAGGGCCCTTCACGCAAGTGGGATTCCTGTGTTCCACTCTCACAAGAGGCGTGCTCGAGCGCAAAGATGATCCAGGAGAAGAAAGTAGGTATCATTTAAAGGTTTATAATGTCTCCAGAGCTTCAAAAATGTGTATGTGACTTCAACTTGAGAGCACGAGGAGTTTTACTTCTAAATTGCAAGTGTGGGCTTGTATGTACAACATCGAGAGAGAAAAAGATAGTGATGAGCAGTCAAACAAGATAAGATGACTCTATCAGTTCTAGCTGGCTTTAGCTGGCTTGGTAGGTTTAGCCGATCCATTAGGAGCTGGAAGAGCAATGACAATAGGTTTGCCTAACAGACCATCCACAGTATTCGAGCCGCTAGCGGTGCCGCGACAAAGAGGATGCTTGGTCGAGTTTTTCCCCGATTTGCTCTCCGGCGAAGGTTGGTTTGCAATCTTTGGTCCACATTCCATACAATAAGCCGCCTGAATTAAAATTTGAAGCATGATTGGTCAGATTTGGGAACATTTCTTCTTTCCAATAACTTTTTTTTTGTCAATCTATGATCTATCTTACTCACCTTTTGTACTGAAAAGAATGGGCGCTCTTTTTTGGTCCATTTCTTGATGTGGCCGGCTAAGGTTTGATCACACAAGTCCAATTTCTCAAGATTTGGACAACCATCAGTCCTGAATCAGATCCAACCGAATGAATTTTTTTTTTGGTTAGCCAAACCGTCATGAAAATTAATGGATGGGTAGGAAGCGCAAGTGACTGTGGAATGATTAATTAGAGTTGAATTGCGGTATGATTGACAAACCTGATTGTTTGATAAGTAGTCAGGATTGAGTAAAAGGCCGCAGCGTCCATCGATCCACTTTGCATTTCAGCAGCACAGCCGGTTTTGAATTGTTCACCAGCGGAGGTCAGAGAAGCGGGAACACAGGCGGGAGCTGCACACATGCCCTTCATCCATGCCTGAAAAGAAGAGCGTAGAAAGACATTATATATAAGTATGGATTCCAAGAAAGGAGTAGACAGAACGAGAAGGTAGATCAAGAAGAGGAGTTTTGACTGACCTTGATTGGGACAGAGATGGAGTCCTTGGAGGTTCGGATCTGGACCATCTTATGCAAATTGGTGCAGACCGCCAGAGCCTCATCCTTCGCAAAACCGGCGAGAGTTTGCCGACACGCTCCAGAGAGTTCGCCCGGATTGGCGGCCAAGCTTTGAGCCACCGCGTCCGCCATGCTAGATGTCGGTGAGCCTGCAGCACCCTTCTGGCTCACATCTAACGCATTCGTTGCCGTCGTCGTAGCGCTCATCACCGTCCCCACCCAGATACTCACCATCAGGATAGACATCAATTCGCGTAAGAAAGCCATTGTTTTATGCTACTGAGGAATTTGAAAGTCGAAAAAGCCAAAGAAAAAGTCGATCGAGATGTTGATGATGATGATAGGTGAAGGATGTTGTTATATAGACACAGTAAAGATTTAATCGAAAGAAAGCTATGTACTTATATTTTATACAAGTTAAGAACAAAGTGGATGATGAGAGTATGGAATGGCTGTAAGGGATGAAGGAAAGAAAAGGACGAGTCCCAGAGGCTCGGGCATTTTATATTGCGAAACACATGCAGTCTACAAGCAGCACCCTTAAGAGGCGTCGGAGAAAAGGCAATCGAGAGTGAATTGAGTGTTGCAAAACAGCGTGGCAATCGGTGACTAAAAAAAACTGCGGTCTTTGGTCTACATGGCGCTTTACGACAGGGAGAAGGGTTGCCTATGTAGACGGAATGTGGAATAGGTTTGAAGGGAAGGGAGGGCAATGGCATGGCCATGTATGTATAATTGTTATCCTTCTTCACGGGACGAATCGATGATCTCGGCAAACGTCGACCCGGCTGATCAGCTTTCTGCAAAAGCTCCGTCACGTTGATGATCATCGGCTTGGTGAGCTGACTTCATATCATAAAATTCGGCCAAGCATCAAGTACTCCCTCCCGTATCCGTTGACTCTAGCCTCGACACGAAAAACAAAAAAAGAAACCCTTATTAGACGGCTACAATAACTTGTGAACGGTTTCGCCAGGAACGCTGATGCTAGAGAAGCGCGATACACAGATGAACTCTCGACGTGTCGCGAGGTGGATGCTCACTTGGCGCGGTTAATAATTAGGCTCCCTTCAGTGAAGTCATGAGGGCCAGGCTTCGATGGCGACATCCACCTGGCCAAGTCAGGCTCACTTCGCCCGCCCAGTCCGCTTTCTTTGGCGACCCCCATCTTGCACAAGTCAGGCTCCTTATGTACTTCGCGGAAGTCACAGACTCTGGATTTGCTCGAGAGGTGGGGGCAGCCTGACATCTTCCGCGAGGCGGGGGGAGGGGCGCGATTACATTGTACAAGAATCCTGAATTTCAAAACACAAACCACAAAAATTTGAAAGTGGATGAGTCGAAAGTGTCGAGTGATGCTAGAGGGTGTCTGTCTGAGACTGCACCAGCAGATGGACGAGCAAGAGTCTTACAATAGGACGGTTCACATTTGACACTTTTTTCTGCTGACTTGTAATTGAATATTTGCTTGCTGAAATTAAACATATGCGTAAATTTTTATGCTTTTCAACACATACCCGTTGCTGAAATCACAAAATTTGTATTAAAATTCAGCAGAAACCTTTGTCCCCTACAACTCCCACCAATCCCCGATCAGGTTACTCCACAACTGCTGCTGATATGGTACTCCACAACCTCAGATCGGCACCCATCCTTCCTCGACTCTTCTTTTCTTTGGGTTAAATTTCATCACTAACCTGTTTTCTGACTGAGGTAATTTTGACTAACTGTTCTTTTGTGATTTGAATACAAGCTGATACCTTTTTTGATTTTAACCATAGCCTAGGTAGAATCCCACCATGTTGTCATTTCAGGCAGTTGATCCAGCTTTACTACCTGCGCTCTTGGCTCCTGCATCCTCAGTTTCATCCTTGAATCCGACATCCTCAGTTCCACCCTTGAACACAATCCCAAGTAACACGACTACCAAGAAAAAACGTACCCGTCGAACCAAAAAACAGATGGCCCTTGCCCGAGATAATGATATAACAAACAACGGAGAAACAGCAAGTCAAAAAAAGTGCAAAACAAGTCAACCTTGACAAACTTCTCAAAATAGGTCGCAGTCATCCCAGAAGCCTACTACAGAGACCGATAATAATCCCCAGTTCATTCACTCTGACTACGAGAACATTTGTGCTTACGTTGAAGATGATGAAAAATTCTCTGAACTTTATGGTGATACCAAGACAAACGTTGGACCAAAAGTACTCACAAAGACAGCTGCCTTCAACATCTTCGCAATACATATCAATGCACACAGCAACAAGCGTCTAAATCTAACTGGTCGACAACTTCAACAACGAGTCAATTACTACATCCAAAAAAAGTACTTCCCAGCAAAGCAGTGGGAGAATCAGACTGGTGCAGGCATCCTTGATCAAGATCCTCATGCTTCGCTTGATGAGGCTTTGGAAGCCAAGTGCCCCTGCTATGCTAAGATGGACGCAATCTTTGGTCAGAGGCCAAATATCACTCCTCTAGCCGAATTTGACTCCAGCAACCCCACCCCCATTGGCCCAAGCCAGTTTGAACATCAAGACCAGGATTCCTCCCCAGAAGTGTTCTATCCTGGCTGGGATGTAAGTCAATCTCCACCAGCCAATCAAAGTCCTCATTTGGATGCAGATGTCAGAGACGAAACTCTTCAATTGATGATCCCTCCTCTTCTATGTGATGGTGAAGATTCTGATGCTCTTCCTCAATCAACTCTAGCATCTTTCCCTGCTTTGCCAGTCGGTGCAAACCCAACTCCTGGAGGGGTGCAATTCACCCCAACCCCGACAGCCCCTTGTCGCACCTTCCCTAATCAAGCAAACTCAAACGAAACACGTCCACCAAAGGAACGAGTTGATAAATCTAAATCAAGCTTGGCCACTGCCTATCAATCGGTCAGTGATAAGAAGTAAAAAATGCAGCAGTCTGCTTTGAAGGACAAGCAATCCAATGAGGATCGTCGATTCAACTGGGAGAAACAGCAATATGATGATGAGCGAGCCGATGTGCAAAAGCGGTTAGAAGCTGAAGAAAAGATGCAACAAGCTCGACTGGATGCTGAAGAGAAGAAGCAAAGTGCACAAATTGAGGCTGCCAAACGTTGGATTTCACAGGGAAAGAGCACCACCGAGGTAGATGTCTTGCTCAAGGCAGTGTTCCCCTAGTTGCCTTATCAGTCATGTACAGCCCCTTGACAGAAAAAATGGAACCCTTTAATTGCAGTCTAGAGGGCAAACCAATGGACTTGAATTTATGCTTCCTGGTGAAACTGTGTAAAATGAGTTCTAAAGAATGATTCTGACATATTGGATAGGAAAATGTTTTGTAATTTGTATTTTATATTTTTCCACATTTTCTGATTTTTTTGAAATTTTTCAATCATTTTTCAAAGTAGCTCAAAAATTCAGGAGCATCACAATTGTATGTGAAAAGAATGATTATAAATTAAAAATTGAGAAAAATCAATGATCAAAAGTTTAGAGAGCTCATCAACTTGGATGGAGGAGGAAATTGACTCTCATGTTAGAGCCTGAATGGAGGGGTGGGTCTGACCGATGACACAAATCAACACATGCAGAACAAGGCTGGTGCTCACATTTTTTTTTGAGATCTACATATATAATCACTCTCTGTCCATCCCAGTGTGTCGATCACGATCTTTCTGAGCTACTTTCAAAAATAACTGGAAAATCCAAAAAATCAGAAAATGGGGAAAAATACACAAAATTTTACAAAAATAATTTCCTATCCAATTTTTCAGAATCATTCTTTAGAACTTATTTTCCACAGTTTCACCAGGAAGCATAAATTGAAGTCCATTGGTTTGCCCTCTAGACTCCAAGTAAGGGGTTCCATTTTTTCTGTCAAGGGGCACTGCAAGAAAAAGTCAAGCAACTGGTGACAGTTGACATACAAGAGCCCACACCATACTCTACACTGAACTTGAGTCAAACTCCAAATTTCATTCTGCATTGTTCTGGCTCACCCCTTTGAAGCCACAGGGTAATACCACTAGAGATCGTTCGTCCGTACTTTTTGCAGGTACCTGGTACCTCCTGGGGGGTACCCCTTGCACCCGCCCCGCACCAGCCAGGAGGTGCCAGGTGCGGTACTTGGTACCTATTTTTGTGAAAAATTGAACAGGTACCTAGGTACCTCTACAGGTACCCCCTCACTTCCCTACGAAAAATCAAAATGATGGTGGCCTTCTACTCCAAGAACTCCAAGATCCAAGAAGGTACCTTGGCTGCATGGAAACAGGTACTCAAGGATAACAAGAAGTCTAAGAAAAAATCAAAAAGGAAGGTGGTGGTTTTGGATGACAATTAAGATTCTTCCAATTAGTTATAAGTTGTAGATAGTTTCAACTTTTCAATAAATTATTAAATATGAACAAATGAAAAAAGTGATCTGGGACTGATGTTTTACAATAAATATGAAAAAATAGAAAAGTAAGATTCTTCCAATTAGATGTAGATATATTACAACAGATATTAAAAAATGCCAAAAAAGTGACTTGTGAGTGATATTTTACAATAAATATGAAAAAAAATAATAATAATAAAGTCACTTGAGACTCTGGGAGTGAAACTAGGTGAAAAAGAGAGGGGGGGTACCTGAGGTACCTGCAACAGGTACCTTGGGTACCCCCTGGGAGGTGTCTGGTGCGGTACATGGTATCTATTTTCTTGAAAAAATGAACAGGTACCTAGGTATAAACAGGTACCCAGGTCCGAACAAACAATCTCTAAATACCACTCAAGTATGTCAACACAATCAACTTAGTTTCCATTGAGGCTTGAGTGGGGCATGCTGCATGTCAACTGGTAGCAGTTGCCTGACTTTTTCTTGTAGTGGGGCTGTACATCAATGTTGTTGCTTAATCTCTCAATATCGCTGTTTTTATTTTGATCTTTATCTTTTATGTTCTGTTTTTACTTGCCTTGATGGATCAAAGATCACTTGATCAATCAATTGGTGAAAATAGTTTATTTTGCTATCTCTTGTTTTTCTTCTATCTCTCTTTTTTTCCTTTTGACTATTGATTTTTTTCTTTTCTTTCTTCTTGCCTTGAGGAATAAAACATCAATCAAACGACCAACCAATCGCTTGATTGGATTAATTGCTTGATTGACTGATTGATTGATCGATCAATCAATTGATTGATTGATTAACCAATCTATCGATCGATCGATTGATTGATTAATCAGTCAATCAAGCAATTGATGAATCAGTCAATCAATCAATCAAGTGATTGATTGATCATCTCTGCCTGTTTTCTCTAAATGTTTCTTCTTTCCAACACTCTTGTGCCTTGTCTTGGCCAATCAAAAATCCATTGACCATTGAGTTTAGCTCAATAAAAAAAAGTGTTATTAAATTTCAAATACTCGTTCAAAGCAGACCGTTCATGTAAGAGAATCAAAAAAAAAACTGAGGGGCTGGTTTCTTTTCTGGAAGTGACTTGGGAATCAACAAATAAGGCAGATGTTCAAAGAAAGCCAAAGAAGGGAAAAAGAGAATTGACAAGGAGATATCCAAAAGTGAGAAGCAAAGAGGTTTGGTCAAGCAAAAATAAGCAACCAATCAATGTTAAAAAACCTCATTATCAAAAATAAGAATTAGATGGGCAATGTGCCAAGCTCATGGTGACGTTCACAGCACTTCTTTTTAATTTTTGTTTGAAAGTTCTCACTGGCTACAGTCGGTATATCCTCCTCATCACTACTTTCTTCAGAGTCCTTGTCATTGGTCTCTGCCTCATTTGCATCCAGGCTTGCTAGGTCATGCCATGCATCACCAAGGAAAGCGAGCATGTTGTGCAGTATGATGCAGGCATAGATCCAACGGATGTATGCCTGCATGTGAGAAGCCTGATATGTATGTAATCGCATTTCTTTCAAGGAAGACCATCGAGCCTTCAAGACACCAATAGCGTGTTTGTTTCGCACTTGAGACTTGGCAAGACAATAGTTGAATTCCACATTCTCCGGTAAGTTGGCTGCTGGGACTTTACAAGGGGGTATGGTGGTCATGGTGAGACTGTATGCCGCATCACCAATCAAGTATTGGCCTGTCCAAACAAAATCACCAGATCAATTGAATAGGAGAATAACGGATTGATCTAATCAAGAACAACTCACCAGGGTCAAAAAACTGTGATGCATTAGTATGAAGATCCATCCTTTTGTACACCATACTATCACCACATGATCCCGGCCAACCTGTCATGAAACCTGTAATGTATAGATCACAATCACAAATGATTTGACAGTTAATTGAGTATTGTTTCTTTCGATCCCAAAAAACGTGACCATTGATTGCTGGGTGTTGGAAAAGTCGAATGGTTGTTCCGTCAACAAATCCAATGCAGCCATAAAATCCTTCTTTTTTCATGACTTCAGATATTTCTTTGCTACGAGATTGGTTTGGCCAAACAAAATACTGGAACCCAAGCAAGGTGATTGCATCAATGACTTGTCACGTAGCTTTGATTACGGTCCCACAGGCCACATTCAAATTTCAAGCACATCGGCCAACTGAGGCCCTGTTGCCATTGGCTCCTAGTTGTTCCAGGGAGATTGCAAGCTGGTGTGGTATTGGAAGCTGCGGACAAAAGCTGTTGTTGTGGAATACTGGGTGGAGATAAATTCGGTTTAGAAGCCACACGAAAGCCTCTTTGGTTGTCCGAGTGGATTGCTTGAAGTCGATTGATCGCATCTCAAACAGTCTTGCCAAATCAAATTCATCACGAAATACCGGAGGAGCCCGTACATTAAGATATCGACTCGAGATGACAGTTTGTAGTAGGTCCCCCATGTCGTCCTCATCGCTAAAAAGTTCATCGGTTACCAGCATCATTTCAGGATCGTCGGAGAAGAAGATGTTTCCTATGGTCTGACTTCCTGGGAGGTTGAATAGTTTGCTGATGAGATCATCGGTATCATCCTCATGTTGGAGGAGGAGGAGGGTAAATAGCTCTCGTATAACGCTTTGCCATTCACTGAATTGACGCATAGCTCTGGAAGGTGGTGCTGTGTGGAATGTAGGATTGAAGCTGAATGCACCTGTGGCTGCAAAATTCTTCCATCCCAAATGGAGGAAACCCGTGTACACATCTTCCACTTAGAATGGAAAATGGCTGAGTTGAGCTCGCCCAAATTTTTCAGCTCATCCAGCTCAGTCAGCTCTTGGACCCAGCTCATCCAGCTCAGTCAGCTCAAGTCAGCTCCCAGACCCAGCTCAGTCAGCTCTCGCACCCAGCTCAGTCAGCTCTGAGACCCAGCTCATCCAGCTCATCCAGCTCATGAGGTCCACTAAAAATGCAAACAACACTCAATCCTCAGTCCAGTCTGCGTAGCCTAGTCAGCTAAGCCTGCCCTCCACCTCCCTCGAGGTTGTGGGTTCAAGACCCACCAAAGGCAGCTCCAATTTAGGGGTTAGGGGTCAGGTTAGGGGTCAGGTTAGGGGTCAGGTTAGGGGTTAGGTTAGGGGTTAGGTTTAGGGGTTAGGTTTAGGGGTTAGGTTTAGGGGTTAGGGGTTAGGGGTTAGGGGTTAGGTTTTAGGGGTTAGGTTTTAGGGGTTAGGGCTTCATGAGGGGTTAGGTTTAGGGGTTGGGGTTAGGGTCA